GATCGGCGAGTATTGATGAGGGGCGATCGGCGAGTATTGATGAGGGGCGATCGGCGAGTATTGATGAGGGGCGATCGACGAGTATTAATGAGGGGCGATCGGCGAGTATTGACGAGGGGCGATCGGCGAGTATTGACGAGGGGCGATCGGCAAGTATTGATGAGGAGCGATCGACGAGTATTAATGAGGGGCGATCGGCAAGTATTGATGAGGAGCGATCGGCGAGTATTGATGAGGCGATCGGCAAGTAATGACGAGGGGCGATCGGTGAGTATTGACGAGGGGCAATCGGCGAGTATTGATGAGGGGCGATCGACGAGTATTAATGAGGGGCGATCGGCGAGTATTGACGAGGGGCAATCGGCGAGTATTGATGAGGGGCGATCGANCGCCGGCGCCCCCTACCTGCCAGCGCCCCCTCTGCCCGCCGGCGCCCCCTGCCCGCCCGGCGCCCCCTACCTGCTGGCAAGCTTGAAGGTCTCTGTGACGCACGCTGCGGCTATGACCGCGTTCGTCGTTGCGACGGCGGGGATGATGTGTTTGACGACGCTCCCTACCTGTCAGCCCCCCCTGCCTGCCGGCGCCCCATGAATGCCTGCCAGCGCCCCCTACCCGCCGGCGCCCCCTACCTGCTGGCAAGCTTGAAGGTCTCGGTGACGCACGCTGCGGCTATGACCGCGTTCGTCGTCGCGACGGCCGGGATGATGTGTTTAACGACGCCCTGTGTGAGCCGGTACGTCACTCCCATGATCCCGTAATGGTCCGCGCGCTCCACCGCCTGCCGGAACACCCAGCGAACGTGCTCCGGGTCGTCGTCGTCGATCTCGACGCCATCTGGCGGGAGAGACGGGAGCGAGAGGGTCGGACGAGGTCGTACGCAAAATGTTTTAGTGAGCGCGGGTTACGCACGGCAGTGGTGTCTAGGGAGCGCGTACTGATGAGGGGCGATCGGCGAGTATTGATGAGGGGAGATCGGCGAGTATTGATGAGGGGCGATCGGCGAGTATTGATGAGGCGATCGGCGAGTATTGACGAGGGGCGATCGACGAGTATTGATGAGGGGAGATCGGCGAGTATTGACGAGGGACAATCGGCGAGTATTGATGAGGAGCGATCGGCGAGTATTGATGAGCGTAGCGCACGTTATTCAGAGAAGCTTTGTTGACATCTATTATGATTACTATAATTATTATCATTATAAATATTATTAGCTTTATTATTAATATTAACACCGTTATTATTATCATGACTATTATTAGTTATAATTATTATTATTAGTTATAATTATTATCATTATCATCATCAATATTATTAGCTTTATTCTTCCTCTTCTTGTTATTATATTATTATTATTAATTTATCATCATTATCATTTTTATCACGCGGCTACCCGACATGGGTTACCGCTACAGCGACAGTTTTCACTTCGCCGCGCCCGTCGCAGCGTGACCGCGCGGTGGCGCCCCCTCACCTCCGAACGGCTGCTCCTTGGGCCACAGCAGGATTCGCGCGTACTCGATGCAATGCTCGGGGAGGCGTGGCGTGTGAGCGATCGTACACATCGGAAAGTTCACCTGGAGAGAGGGAGACACGAAGACGCTAACGTACACAGCGGGTGATACTGAAGCTTTCCTGTTGGTGAAAGGGTGTACCTATGATAGAGGTCTCTCTCTCTCTATTTTTTTCTCTCTCACTCTTTCTATCTCTATTTCTCTCTCTCTCCGCTTCTGTCTCTTTCTGTCTCTTTCTCCTCTCCTCTCTCTCTCTCTCTTTCTGTGTCTCTTTCTCTCTCTCCCTCTTCCTCTCTCTCTCTCTCTCGTCATCTCTCTCTCGATCCTCCTCTCTCTCTCTCTCTCTCTATTTTTTCTCTCATCACTCTTCTATTCTATCTCTCTCTATCTATTTCTGTCTCTTCTCTCTGCTCCTCTGTCGTTCTCATTTCTTGCTATCATCAGGCTAGATCCCTTAAGTCAGTGTTACGGTCCGTCGCACACTCTCTCTCACGTACCTGTGGGGGATAGAGGTCCTCTATGTGTGCTTACATACGTACCTGTGGGGGATAGAGGTCCACTATTGTGTGCTTACACGTAGCCTGTGGGGATAGAGGTGCCATCTATGCTGTGCTTACACGTACGCTGTGTGGGGATAGAGGTCCACTATGTGTGCTTACACGTACCTGTGGGGGATAGAGGTCCACTATGTGTGCTTACACGTACCTGTGGGGGATAGAGGTCCACTATGTGTGCTTACACGTACCTGTGGGGGATAGAGGTCCAGCTATTGTGCTTACACGTAACCTGTGGGGGATAGAGGTCCACTATGTGTGCTTACACGTACGCTGTGGGGGATAGAGGTCCATCTTATGTTTGTCTTACACGTAACCTGTGGGATAGAGGTCCCTCTATGTGTGCTTACACGTACCTGTGGGGGATAGAGGTCCTCTATGTGTGCTTACACGTACCTGTGGGGGATAGAGGTCCTCTATGTGTGCTTACACGTACGCAGGGGAGTGTGGGGGATAGAGGTCCACCTATGTGTGCTTACACGTACCTGTGGGGGATAGAGGTACACTTATGTGTGGCTTAACACGTACCTGTGGGGGATAGAAGGTCCACTAATGTGTGCTTACACGTACCTGTGGGGAATAGAGGTCCACTTATGTGTGCTTACACGAGCTGTGGGGGATAGAGGTCACTATGTGTGTTACACGTACCTGTGGGGGATAAGAGGTCCACATAGTGTGCTTACACGTACTGTGGGTGATAGAGGTCGCTCTATTTGTGCTTACACGTACTGTGGGGGATAGAGGTCCACTATGTGTGCCTACAGCGTACCTGTGGGGATAGAGGTCCACTATGTGTCTTACACGTACCTGTGGGGGATAGAGGTCCGTCTATGTGTGCTTACACGTACCGTGTGGGGGATAGAGGTCCTCATATGTGTGGCTTACACCGTACTCTGTGGGGGATAGAGGAGTCCACTTATGTGTGGCTTACACGTACCTGCTGGGCGATAGAGGTCCCACTATGTGTGCTTACCATTTGGTCGCGGGATTGTACCTGTGGGGGATAGAGGTCCACGGTGCATTCTATGCACGCCGTCAGGCCGGGGAGCACGACCCTCGCACTGCCCTTGAACCCCTCAGTGCCGCCATCTACCAGCGGGATGATCGTCGACTCATCGACGTTTCCGTCCGTGTCGTAAGCCAGCAAACTCAGCTAGAAGAACAATGAGACGTGTGAGTCGCGCGGTCAACCTTTGACCCCTGCACAATGCCTCACTCTACGGTCTATATATAGTGTCATGTGGTTTACGGTGAGTACAGATCATCACTGTTATAGATTAAACGTCAGAGCTGAGAGACTGAGAGGTAGGGTGGGAAGAGAGAGGAGAGAAAGAGAGAGAGATAAGAGAGAGAGAAAGAGATAGAGAGAGAAGAGAAGAGACCAGAGACAGAGAGAGAAAGAGAAAGAGAGCGAGAGAGGAAGAGAGAGAAAGAAAGAGAAGAGAAGAGAAGAAGAAGAAGAATGAAGAGAGAGAGAAGAGAGAGAGAGAGAAGAGAGAGAGAGAGAGAGAGAGAGAGAGAGAGAGAGAGAGAGAGAATGCAAGAGAGAAACCTCGAGGTAAAAAAGCCGAGAGAGAAAACCCCAAGAGAAAGAACACGACAATGACGTGTGCACGCATTGCTCGTGTAATTCGACTGCCTTATAGAAAACCGAGAGCCTGCACATCGGCGGGAAAGCTAATGCTGGCCCATGCACTATATGTTAGATCATTACCATTCCCCCTTCCCCTCCACTCCACCCACAGCCTCTCACGTCACGTTTATTACGTCAGTCGAATTACACGGGAAAACGCTTGCGCCCGTCTTGCTATCGGGCTGTCTCTCTCGTTTTCTCTCTCGGGGTTTCTCTGTCGCTTTCTCATTTGGGCGTTCACTCTTGTTTTTTCTCTCGAGGTTTCACTCTCGTTTTCTTTCTCGGGAGTTCTCTCTTGTTTTCTCTCTCGGATCTTGTCTCTCGTTTTCTCGCTCGAGGGTTCTTTGTTGTGCACATCACGGAAAAAACACACGTCCTCATTACGGTTTATACAAGCTAGTGCTCTCATGCTATTCTTTATACAACCAAGAAAACACCACCTACGTATATGTTATATATATATATATATATATATANGAGAGAGAGAGAGAGAGAGAGAGAGAGAGAGAGACAGAGAGAAAGAGCGAGATAAAGAGAGAGAGAGAGAAACCGCGCCACCACTCCCCCCCGGCACCCCACGTTACCAGCATGCCGTTGATCCATCGGCGGGCGATCACCGAATCCAGACCCGAAATAACGACGTGGAACTCCCGGTAGAATTCCTCGTCGAAATCCTGTATTCGGCAGCAGTGAGGCTCTATGCGGCACCCCGGCACGCGCCGCCGCACGAACGCAGCGGCGACGTGTGCCTTCGACTTGCCAATGTCCTGAGTGCGGAAGAGGAACTGCCGGTTGAGGTTGGAGAGATCGATCGTGTCCATGTCTATAACATCTATGTTGTGGAAACCCATGAGTGCCTGTGAGAGAGTGAGAGAGAGAACATGAGAGAGGGGGAAGAGAGAGAGAGGGGGGGAGAGTGATGGAGACAGAGAGAGAGAGAGGGGGAGGGAGAGTGATGGAGGACAGAGAGAGAGAGAGGGGGAGGGAGAGTGATGGAGACAGAGAGAGAGAGAGAGACGAAGGGGAGGGAGTAAAGGGTAGAGTAGCAGGGAAGAGGAGAGAGTAGGAGAGGGGACGTAGGGAGGAAAGAGAGAGAGTGGGGGAAAAGAGAGACACGGAGAGAGAAGAGTGGGGACACGAAGAGACAGAGAGAGAGCGAATGAGAAAGGGAAAGTGAGGGTGGGAGAGGGTGAGCAGAGCTGCAGTGTTAAGAGAGAAAGAGAACACGGGGGTGGGAGTAGTAGAAGACGACCCGCACTATAGACACCCCCCTCGCCTCGCAACTCTTCACGTCCATCTTTCTCACAGCTGATAACAGTAAGATGAAGGCATGCAGTAGACAAGTATTAACCACGCCGACCTACGCACAAAAGCGGACAGAAAGAGAGAGAGAGAGAGAGAGAGGAGAGGAATGACGTGAGAGAGAAGAGTTTGAGGGAAGGGAGGAGGGAGGGAGAGAGAGAGAGAGAGAGAGAGAGAGGGAGGCGGGAGAAAGGGGAGAGGGAGAGGAGAGGGAGAGGAAAGGAGAGGGAGAGGGAGAGGGAGAAGGGAGAGGGAGAGGGAGAGGTAGAGGGAGACGGGAGAGGGAGAGGGGAGAGGAAGGGAGGGAGAGGGAGAAAGGGAGAGAGAGATGAAGAGAGAGAAGAGAGAGGAGAGAGAGAGAGAGAGAGAGAGTGAAGAAGTGTGTGACTCACCAAGTCTTTGAGAAAGTTCACATCCCAGACCTCCGGCTCCAATGACAAGCAACCTGCAATCTTTACGCATGAAGTTAAATATCTGCGAGTGGAAAAGAAAGACGTAGTTAGTGACGCTCATAGGGTCTATGTCCCCCAGGGTTAGGGATTAGGTTAGGGTTAGAGAGTAGGCGTAGGCGACTCCCTAAGACTCTGTTAGTGGGTAGGCGAGGTTACGGTCCGCATATTAGATAGTACCAGGGTACGTTCCGGCAGTACCCTGGGGGACATAGACCCTCTCAGCGTTAGTGACGCTGATCCGGGTTGGGTCCCTGACTCTCAATCATTCTCATGAGTGGCGTGAGCGCAGCGCTTGTGCCCAAAGTAACATCATGACGATGAAAAGTTAAAAGTTTTAGTACTTTAAACTATATTTTTCTCGGTTCAAACTTTATAAACTAGAAGGCCAGACTAGATTGCAGAAGGATGACATCCGGGTGAATATCTAAATCCAAGGGAGTGTACCGAAGTCGCGAGGAACTCTTGACGATTCTCACCTCTTCTCCCGGGACAAAGTCCGGGTGCGCTAGCGGTCCTGTTCTCTCCAGAAGCTTGCTTACGTGATTCCATCGCCCCGGCCAGTCACCGTCGACATCGCTGCCCCCTACCGACATCCTGCAGCATAGGAAACAAGAGAACAGCATCAATTCGGCAGGGGAAAAACGACGCCAACGCGTTCTGCAAGTCATGCTGCTCTTATAGTTATTTGGAATGGTGGCTGTTGCGTTGGCAATGAAAATGGTATGGAAAGCCTGCTCTTGCCCATAGCCCTATACTCACCAACTACTTCTAACTATATGAACACATACGTGGCCATGCATGCTATTAAATCAGGAGTGTCATAGTATAGAGTCGACTGTCATCGCGAGTGTCTATATTATGGCTATATATATTGATCACTGACAGGATTATAGGTTCAGGTTGTACATGAAACTAACTCAGCAGTAGTACTGTAGATAGATTTTATAATCTGTCCCAACAGCTGATGTACAGATAGCAGATGAGTGGATAGATAACATTTTAACACATTTGATAATAACTCACAACTGTTAATAACATTTATTACATAGGTACTATTGCTGGAATCAATTGCCTATAATCTTCAATAGATTCTGGCAGAACCTGAGCAGCTCACTGCATGACTGCGTGACTGGCATAAATTGGGGTACTGTCGAATCGTACAACCACAAGCATGTAAACATATGGGCAATCTAACACCCAGTGATCATAATAAATGATCACCAGCCACCACCCAATGTCAGTGACCCGCGTAATGTCAGCATTGGCAGAAGCCGACTGGGCGTGGAGACTACACCGACACGGAGCCGGTAAAATTTACCTACTTCATTCGTTTCGCCGTGGACATCTCACGGGTGCGGATCGAGACGGAGGAAAAAGACACAGCAGGTCGGCATAAAGTGGATTAGGGCCACGATCATTTCACCGATGCGAAGGTGGCACGATCGCGATTGCGTTTGGGGTCATCGGTTCACCGATTCGCGCTTGTTGTCGTTACAAAATCAAGCAAACGAAAGCGCGAAAATCGACACGAGGGAAATTTAACGCGGATTTTAACCGGTTTCCGCATCGGCACCGGCAATGAAACCTTTATCAACACGTCGGGACGTCAGCCGGCAGTGCATGCAGGAAATGTTTTGCCGATTAGCGATCTACTATTAACCTGGATTGCAAATTTAATTGCAATGATACTTACGGTGACTCAAAGTCGGCCATGATGACTACCGCTACGCCACCATAGATAAATGTACGAGATTTGAAATATTCGGTCCCTTGTCAATTTATAATTAAAACAGCGATTTATTTTTAAAAATTCGTTTGTTTAATATATTATGTCAATTTTCTTTATTATTATAATAATTTCCAAAAGATGTACAGCGCATTATATTAAAGCTTTTTGTGCACACCATAAGCGACCTAACTCTCAGACATGGCATCACCCAAAATACCCGTAAAAATGGAATCTGAGGTGGAATTCGCCCCTTTACGTACTCTTACGGACTTTATGCTCGAATCTGCACGATTCCAGCTACCAAACCTGAAAGATCCGGAGAGATGGATGAACAGAGTGAACGCGAACCTGCTTTACTATCAGTCAAACTACTTTGTCATGGCTCTTCTGACGTTCGTTGTCGTTGGGTGAGTTTGCTGAATCAGTGAATTCATGATGAATCACTAATCGCTCACACACACAGTCCCGCTTGTGATATACATACAGTCACACTAGGTCGTAAACTGTGAATCATAGTGCTTGTCCACCACTTCTACGTTCGTGTATTGATTAGTGATAGCGACGTCTATAGGCCCGGGTTTGTTGTCATGATGCAAGCTTGTCAAATCTGGGCGAAGAGCTGGTGATTGAGCGCTGCGGCGCGAGGCGGCGGCGGGCGGCGGCGGCGGCGGGCGCGGGGGGGGGGTTTGCACTCAGCCACTGCAGGCAGTGTCCAAAGCACGATAACTTTGTGTTGTCCTAAACGATAATTTAGTTCGTTCGGTGACGAATGTCGTTCGTTGTTCGCGAACTATGATTCCGACGTTGTTGTTCGCAGGTTCATGCATCCGATCCAAATGCTGTTCGGATGTTTGGGCGATCGAAGGCGTGGCGTTGGTTTGTTGCGTGGCTAGCATCACCAACCGGCATAGGTCTACGGTGAGGGCTGCACAGTACTGGATACCTGTCTTGGCTTGGCAATGAGTCTACGGCTATTTATAGACCATATTCTCGTAGGCTAGTTCATGGCTACCCGACTCCGTCATATTTTCCTAACTAGCCATTGTCACCTGTTTACTGTCGACAATTTGATAACCGAGAGAGAGAGAGAGAGAGAGAGAGAGAGAGAGAAGAGAGAGAGAGGAGAAGAGATAGAGAGAGATAGAGAGAGAGAGAGAGAGAGAGAGGAGAGAGCGAGACAGAGAGAGAGAGACAGAGACAGAGACAGAGACAGAGAGCAGAGAGCAGAAAGACAGAGACAGCGACAGAGACAGAGACAGAGACAGAGACGAGACAGAGACAGAGGACAGAGACGAGAGACAGTAGACAGAGAGAGAGAGAGAGAAGAGAGAGAGAGAGAGAGAGAGAGAGACAGAGACAGGAGACAGAGACAGAGACAGAGACACGAGACAGAGACAAGAGACAAGTAGAGACAAGAGGACAGAAGACACCACCCGTAGGGCTCGCGAACAGAGACAGCCAGAGACGAGAGGAGACAGGAGACAGAGACAGAGACGAGAGACAAGAGACGAGAGAGCAGGACGACAGAGACACGAGACAGAGTGACCCTACTACTCTCCAGAGACAGAGACAGAGACCACAGAGGGACAGAGAGCTAGAGATCAGAGACGAGAGACACGAGAACGAAGAGAGCAGGACATGAGAGCAGTAGACAGAGACCACAGGCGAGAGAGAGAAAGAGAGAGAGAGAGGTTGATGGATGGAGGGAGACCTAGCTGGTCTACATTGTCTACGGCTTTGCTGCGGCGTTGTTCAGCGGCGTGTTGTTCTTAGTTCTTTGTATAACGGTTGTTCACTAGCGTATGTTCTATTCTCGCTTGTATAACCGGTGTTCATGTGTATGTTTCTTATTCTCCTATGTATAGGACGGTTGTTCAGCAGCGTGTTTTGTTCATTATTCTTCTCTATTACGGTTTTGTTCACGGGATCGCGTATATGTTCTCTCTCCCCAGCGCTGCAGCAGGCGATGCAGTTTAAGCGTGACCAAATCCGCTGGTGAGCGTCTGGCATCATCGTTGGCCCGCGGGTTAGCTTTGCATCGTGCTGATGCTGGGGTATCCGTTCTCAAAGTGTTCGGTCGTTCGGCATTGGCCTGGCCCGTGCACGCCGGTGGGGTGAGTGTTGTTAAATGAGTTTATTAGTTATTATTATTATTATTATTATTGATTATTACCGTCACCAAAGGGGTTGGGCAGGAGGTTATGTTTTTCACTCGGCGGTGCTGTTTGTTTCGTGTTGTGGGTTTGTTGTGTACAGCCTAACTAAAAAGTTATGGACGGATATGTCATGAAAATTTTCAGGATACGTCGGATCGGGTAACTTATAATTGATGAGATTTTGGTGGTTGATCCGGAATCCAATTAATTATATAATTAATTAATTATTAAATTTGTAGGATACGGTCAGAAATGGGTAACGTAATAATTGATTAGCTATTTGGTGTGATCCGGATCCAATTAATTAATAAAATTTTTCAAGGATAGGTCAGAAATGGGTATACTTAAGAATTGATTACATTTTTGGTGGTGATCCGAATCGCAATTAATTATTTAATTAATTAATTAATTAATTAAATTTGTCAACGAGTGACAGAATTCAGCTGGCCTTGGGGCGGAGGTCTGTGCTCTCCGAGTGCTTCTAAGTTATTAGTTATGTATTATTACTGTTTGTTATTATAGTAGGAAGTTGAGAGCACATGGGTTCAAAATAGTCCATAATGGGCTAAGGTTAAGGCTAAGGTTTCGCAGCCGCCGGGAAAACACGTCCAGAGACGTGAATAAACGGTGGCGCCCCCTTGTGTCCGCAGTGATCTTCATTGCAGCTAGCGTGCGCTGCGTCCTGCGTAACATAAAGAACAAGGTCGCGAACAAGATGGAGATGATCGGCTTGAAGCGAACACCGATGGGCTTGTTCCTCGACGCGCTAGGCCAGGAGCAGGTACGCTAGCGCCCCCTGGCATGCGTGCAGCGAGGAGCGAGCGGCGCCCCCTGGATGTCCCGCGACGTGCTGTTGTGCAAGGGCGATAGGCTGACCTGGCTTGTGGAACGCGCAGCCGCTTGTTTTCCCAGATCCCTACGGTTGCGATCGCTCGAAAAACCTAGTGACGGATATTTAAAATCTGTCTCGGGGAGCTTTATATATATATATATATATATATATATATATATATAGTATGATATATATAATTAAAACCAGTTAGTTTATATGCAGGGATCCGAGGAGACCAAAAAGCGAACACACCGTATGGAATTTTCACATGAAGCCAGTGAGGAATGCGTATGTATGGCATATACAGTGTAGCATGATGCATGTACATGTTGTATGCGGTATGCACGTTATAACATGTACATGTACATGCAATATACGTAGCATGTACATGCATGTACGCGCATACCATGTACGTGTACAAGCACGTACGTGCGTACATGTGTAGTACGCGCATACAAAGTACATGCACATGACGACAAGGGTTCTCCAAGGAGCACTTATAGGCCTGGCGGCACCGCCAGGCTATGCGTCGAGCCCCGCTCATCCTATAAATGCTACGGGCGCGCCACTCTAAATATCATCGCCGCCATGCTAAATATCATACCGCGCCCCGGACACCCCCTAGCACGTGCAAACGCCGCCTTCGGCGATTTGCAAACATAGCGAACTCGTAAAGGGGCCAGCACCTACATGCTATATGAAAAAGCTTGGAAAACCCTGCATGTATGTGCGCGCATACAGCGTAGCATGTAGCATATACATGTAGATTGGAGTATGTAAGAATGCTGGGCGAGGGGAGATGAAGGGAAGCATGTTAGAGTGAATGTGCATGGGTAAGCCAGCACATACGCCTTGCCTGTGTTGGCAACTTTTGGCAGCCGTAGCCTGTACTACGACGACGTCACAACGGCGCTAATGATTACACTCAGGACCAAGGGAGCGGGCAGAGGTGTGGGTGGAGGGAGGGGGGAGGGGGAAGTTGGGGAGCGTGTAGGGGAGTCAGGGGGGACGGAGAAGTGTGTCGGGAAGGTGGGAGGTGTGGATTGAGATATGAGACAATGGAGGCGGGGATGTGTGGGGCCGGGACGGGGGAGGTGTGACGAGGGGGGGGGTGTAGGGAAGGTGGCACTTGCGTGTATGAGGGGCGCGAGGACAATGAGATTTATGTGTGGTGATCCGCACAGCCTCTCATGTATGCTCGGATCTTACCTCTCCTTAGTATGCCTAGGATGCCGGGGATTAGGGTTTAGGGTTAGGAACAGGTTCTATGTAAACAACACACCCATAGCACATCTCTGTGTGTGGACTTCTCTCCTCTTGTCTGGGGCGGTGCGTAGGCAGTTGTCAAGAGAGGGAGAATTGCCTCAGTTCGCTTGAACGCGTTAGGTATAGCACGTTGATCTCTCCTGTTTGTGTGGTGCTCAGTTCGTGTAGACTGGTATGGAAGGAGGATGGGGTAGAGTTAGGGAGGGGTATGGGGTCAGGATGGGGTAGGGGTGGGATGGGGTTGGGGTTAGGGGTGGATGGGGTAATGGGGAGATGGGGTAGGGGTAGGATGGGATAGGGGTGGGATGGGTATGGGGGAGAGGAATAGGGTAATGGGGAGGATGGGGTATGGGCTAGGATGGGGTAGGCTGGGCATGTATGCATGAGTGTGTGTATGTGTGTATTGCGTGCGTGGGTGCATGTTTACGTGTGTGCGTGTGTCACTGCGCGAGTATGTGCGCGTGTGTCACTGCGCGAGTGTGTGTGCGCTGTGTTGCTGTGTTTGTGTGAGTGTTTGTACAAGCGCTCCCTACACGCACATACGATATTTTCCTTCATGCACAATCTGTGTGCATGCATGCATTGCAAGCTTGCGTGTATAAGAGCATGCACGTACGTGCGTTTCTCCCATCTTACGCGCACGCACGCTGTAACAGCACGAACGCGCATATAGCTCCATAAAGCTGGCAACCACTCGCTCGTTCGATCTCACTAACGTTTCTTTAACGCTCCACTGAATTTTATGCTTTGCTAGTTGCCTTAACTAACCGTCCGTCTGCGCTAACCGATTGTCGTTTGCTAACCGATGCCTGTTCTGTAGTTTGGCAGCACGTGGGCGTTTGCGCCGTGACGTCGTCGTGGCGACGGGGGCAGCAGCAGCCGCAGCAGCCGTCTCCGCCGCGCATGGACCTCTCTTCTCTCCCTCTCTCACTCTCGTCTGCTGGCTTTGTGGTCGGGCAAGGACACACATAGATCGGAGAAACGGAGATAGCGAGCGAGCGAACGCGCGCCCGAACTATGCAGTATCGTACGGGTAAAGTGTCGCACCGAGAGATGTTCGCTTGTTCGTCGGGCGAATATCTGCTCGCTTGTGGAGCGAATGTTCGCTTGTTTGTCACGCGAATGGTGCTCGGGTGAAAATATTGGATTGGCGTTTGTACGCTGAGTGATGTTCGCTTGTTTGTTGGGCGAACGGTGCTCGGGTTGAGTGGTGGATCGGTGTTCTTTCGCCGAGGGATGTTCGTTTGTTTGTTTGCCATTTCTTGACTTTCGCTTGTTGCTTGCAGGATGTGTTCTAGTCCGCTAGAAGATTGCTCTTCTGCGGCGTGTCCGACGGGAACCGGTGGATGGTCTTGTGTCGTGTCGTGTAGGACGGTGCGCGGCGAGCGTGTCGCCCCGGCTTCGTGCGCCACCAGATGGCGCCGCCAGAGCCTCCGATCGTGAGCTCCGGCATGCCGATTTTCGGACAAAGAGACGTTCGGTTGTTTTTTTGCGGAGGCGCGGGGCGCGACGCTGGCTGTTAGCCAATGAGAAATCTTCTTCTGCGTTTCTGCTTGCGATTTCTGCCGTTTGCTTGTTTTTACGAGCCTCTCACGCACGCGAGGCAGTGTTTTGCTTTTAGTCGTGGCTCTTTTTCTTCTTTAGCTTGAAAAATAAGCTTAAAAGTTTTGTGCTCCCTTTTTCAAAGCTTACGTTTGCGTTTGTTTGTAGTTCTGAGCTTTGGGTGATGGCAGACAGTTTATCAGTTAATGGATTTGTCTCCCGCCTTCGCACTGCCCCACTCTCACAATCCTATCCTTCCCCCACAAGCTTCCCTTTCCTCTTACGTTACTGAGGAATGATGCGTGCGTGCGTGTCTGTGCGTGCGTGCGTGTCTGTGCGTGCGTGCGTGCGTGCGTGCGTGCGTATTCCTCATAATATAGGTATGTTGCAGTGGCGTGCATGCATGCTATTCTCTATATTCAATCCACTTGCTTAGACCAGACCAGACCATATAGAACTACTAGACTACTATAACTAGAGAGTGAACTGACACTAGCTACATCTAGTAGAATTATGAATTAGTAAAGGGGTGAGAAGATTAGGTTTAGTGGAATTATGAGTGTGTAGTTAGTAGTGAGGCTGGGTTCATACATAGATAGATGGGTATCATCAGACGTGCCCCTCCCACTCTCACTCCCACATGCATGAGCTTGGGTTTGATGCCGTTAGCAGCTGGTCTGCTGTTTTCGTCGCCATGATGACGTCACGGAATGCTCCGGCTATCATCTCCGTACGGGAGGAGGAGGGGGAGGTGAAGGAGGAGCGGGAGGAGGAGGATGAGGAAGAATTGCAGGAGGAGGTGGAAGAGGGGGAGGAGTGGGAGGAGGAGGATGAGGGGGAGGAAGAATTGCAGGAGGAGGTGGAAGAGGGGAGGAGGAGGAGGAGGTGGTGAAGGTGAAGGAGGAGGAGGATGAGGGGGAGGAAGAATTGCAGGAGGAGGTGGAAGAGGGGGAGGATGAGGAGGAGGAGGAAGAATTGGAGGAGGAGGTGGAATAGGGGGGAGGAGGAGGAGGAAGAATTGGAGGAAGCGGTGAAAGAGCGGGAGGCGGAGGAGGATGAGGGGAGGTGGAATAGGGGGAGGAGGAGGATGAGGATGGTTAGATAATGTATCCCTTACCCTGCTGCTGCTATACTGCGTCTCTATCCCTGACATTTGAATACCCTGTTTATAAAGCTTGTCATGCTTATCGTTTCACTACTGTACGTGTGAAACTACAAAGTTCCCCCTTCTGTCCTCTCCCACTGTATGTTAATATATATGGCTGCTTCCTCCTTCACTGTGTGTGTATAGTTATATGGTCGACCCTCAATTATGGTCACGTATGCACAGTTTAGTAATATTATTGTGTAGTAATTAATTAGGGGGACACAGGAGGTGGTGTAGGAATGGAGGTAGGACATGTGTGTGAAACTAGCGTGGGGGCGTTTACTGCCTGGTCGTAAACCCTGCCAACCACCTAGCATCTCCATGTTCTCTTTCTCTCGCGCTCTCTCTCTCGCTCTCTCTCTCTCTCTCTCTCTCTCTCTCTCTCTCTCTCTCTTTCTCTCTCTCTCACTCCCAACCCCTCCTGCACC